AAATAAAAACAAAAAGCTATCAGAGAACTGTCTCTCCCTTGGTCCTCATAAAGAACATACTATATAATGTAACAAATAGCAGCCTAAACAATATCCTTGCAGTTGATTTACCTATCAAAGAGCTTTGCAAGACCATTCGTCATAACAACCCTCAAAGGCAATGACGAGTCAATAAAAGCAAATGATGGAAAAGAAGGCATCAGGCCAAGGAAGTGATCCAGGTACACAGTTCTCTGCAGGTCTAGATTTATCAGAAATACATTTTATTCTATGTAGACTAACTTAAATCCAGAGGCTTCATCCTCTTATCTTTGAAATTATAAACAAAACTTAATGCACATTGTCCATTTTTCTGGGCAATATGTAGTTTAATAACACCCTCAAGAGAAGCACATTAAGCAAGAAAAGTTAAGGACCACTGATCTAAAAAATCAGACTGTACATATCCTTTAAGCAACACTCCATAAGCAGTTTCTCTTCTGAGCTTCTAAGAAGTACTGAGCCTCAAGACTGCAGCCCCTGACAATTATCTGAAGTACCGCTTCTCTCTGATGTGAGGTATGGAACTCTAAGCTACACCCACTGGCCAAGTTATGCGTCAACTGTATGATACAACATTATATGACCTCTAATACAGTAATGTCCATAAGCATAACAATCGGTTTGTCTAGATAGGTTTCAGCCAAGAACACTAACAGAGTTGCCTCAAAGAATTGGTGATATTTCTCAGAGATAATATAAGAAGAGAAGAAAAGAAAAAAAAATCACCTTTTGCCTATGGATAAAATTAAGAGATCAGCACAAAAAAAACCGTTTTCTTAGATTAACATTTTTTCTTTTTAAAAATACCTGTTCCACATCAACTGATACAATCTGAGCTATATTTTTACCTTTTTGTTGTTTTAATCTTTTGTTATACAGCAAAACAGTCATTGTCCTTACTTTAGCCAAACACACACACACACACACACACACACACCTGCATAGTCAATCATCCACCATAGTATCATTTTTAAAATGTCTCAGTTGCCCAGGTAATTACCCATTGATATGAAGATGACCTTCTCAACCCCTGAGGAAAGATGCAAATGCACTAAAGCCACACTTGTTTACACCTCTGAACACCTGTTGATATGCAGGGACATATCTTTATCAAAATACACAGTTGAATAGACTCCAGAAATAACTCATGCTAACCCAATTCATAAGAGACTGAATGCAAATCAGAATACCAATTTATCAATTAATGACAGAGATTATTCCTTTTCACTAATCAGAAAATTTGCACATGAAGCTAGGATGCTTCTTTCCCATTGCTAGGATACCTAGAATCTTGAACTAATAATCAACTCACCAGACATCACAAAGAGATAGAGAGCTTGGGAGATATCTGAGTTACCCATATCCATCATGCACCTTTCCAGTGCTCAGACTTGACTTGTGGCTTTCCAAGTACCCTTGGTTACTGTTGTGCTAACACTGTTGGTTTCTCGATCTCTAAGCTCTCTTCCACATCCTTCTCTCCATTTTCTAGGCAGGATATATAATATGACTGATGAGGGGGCACCTAACATGCATTATGATCCCTATTTTTCAGATTAAAAACTCCCAGATAAAGTTGATTGAACAACTTGTCCATGGTTATAGCTAGTATAGGTAGATTGGAGATTCAAAGACAGATCTCAAGCCAAAACCTATGCTTTTAACCTTGCGGTAAATAATGTCTTTAAGGTATCTTTCCTTGGGCCTCCCACCTTCCAGTCTGATTAAATGCTCCTCCCAGTCTGATTAAATGCTCCTCCCCAGTAGTCCTCCGACACCCTAAGGATATGACTATAATTTTTGTTATATAGGTCTGTCTCTCTCACTACACTGAAATTTTCTGAAGATGGGAATCATGTCTCATTCACCTATGCACCCCCAGTGTACTCTCTGTCTTATATTTAGGTAAATATGCAAATGAATTGCCCAGCAGTTTAATATATAGAACACCAAACTGAAGTCCTTGACTGGCAGTGTAGCCTTTAGAAAGGTCACAATTCCTACAACCATCAACAAGCATTTCATCTAAAAAAATGTAATGAAATGTATATATAAGGTGGCATAGGTTCCTTCAGGACCTAAACAGCACTATCATTGCAGATAGGCCCTGGTTTTTTGTAACCTACCTTATTAATCTGAATTATCAGAAATAAAATTAAACTCTTCATTTATCGTCTGTACCACTCTACAGACAGCATATATATAAATAACAGGAAGTTCAGAAAAAGCTTCCTCTTTTCTGAAAGGACATAACTTACCATCCCTAAGTCAGGGAAAGGAAATCCCGGGGCAAAATACCCCTAAAAACCAAAATCAGTCAAAGGGAGAAATAAAGTTTAAAACCCATTTATTGCTCAAAAACTGCAGTCCCAGGCCGTCTTTCTTCTCTGCTCAAGCAGCAACCACCGGCCCTACCCCTCACCTCTCAGGTACAGATAAGCCCTCGGTTGCCCAGGTAATTACCCATTGATATGAAGATGAACTTCTCAACCCCTGAGGAAAGATGCAAATGCACTAAAGCCACATTTGTTTACACCTCTGAATGCCTGTTGATATGCAGACGTGCCAAAGCCAGGCGAGATATTCTGGAAATGTTTCAATTTTACCCACACCATCTATACCAAAATCAAACAGTGGCACCCTCCTCTGGTGAATGTTAAAGAAGCTAAACAACACAAAAGACAATAATTAGATGGTACAATTTTCTCTCAATGAGAGTAAAAGCAAGAAATGACCTAATATTATTTATTATCACATACCAAGTAACAACTAAATACTCTTTTTATAGCATTTTCCTTATTTCTCCCTAAAACAAGCCAAAATGAATGAACTGCCTAGACGGTAGATTATAGATAGAACAATTATTCTATTTTTAAGGGTACTGATAACATTCATTATTTTGCAAACAGGCTTTTTAATGTAAGGCACAATGAAAAGCATTTTATAGTTTGGCTAACAATTATCATCTTCTACTTTATTATTTTAAACTTTAATGAAAGCCCTATACATGTAAAATACTTCTGATTTAAAAAAAGCATTTATTATGCCCCTTTTTGGGGTGGTACATTTACAGGAAGATAGCATTGGACTGGAAATTTTTCATACTGAAATCTGTTTCAGTCTGCAACTTTCCTGTTTTAGAATTATCAACTTAAATGAAATTTTAAAATACCAATTCACTTACACATTCAGGCTCAAAACATGCCAACACAGCCCACCTAAACACAACCCAGAGTTTCACCACATCAATATTACATCCTGACCTTTAAATTAAAAATGAAATTGTGCTTTCTAGAACCAGAGGCAGATTATCATCTGCCAACAACTTTAATGTAAAAATATATAGTAAATATAAGCGTTATTAGATGACTTACAATGGTCTAGGTATATAAAATGAAAGTATAAACATTCTGAGTCAAATCAAGAAAACAACTCAGTCATTGTATTGGCAACCTTGTCATTCAGTTATGTTTTTACCCAACTGGAGAGCATCTCTTTCAAGTAACTTCACATCTAGGAGCCCCACACTACCCAAGTAGTAAGCTACAACATTACAACCAGTGAGGAAACTTTATTTTGAAAGACAGAATATAGGAAAAACTGAGTTCAGTTCTACCAAATAAATTCTCCCAACTCAGTTTGTCGTTCCTGGCAAACTTGGTGCTACAGACAAATAGATACAGTCAGTCTCCTGGAAAGATTAGCAGCGTGGGTATGAAGTGACACTGAATCAAAGAGAGAATGCAGATAAGATAACCAATTGAAAGCATTCTCAGGGTTCACCCAAAACAAAGACAAACAACAAGCAAGGCTTTAAAGAGAAAGCCGTCCTCCACAGCCCACCCAGAGACCAGAAGGGCCAAGTAGAGAGCTGGGGGGAAAGCCGGGTGGGAGCACGGAGGTGTGGAGGGAGGCGGAAATGGTGTGGAAGCGGTGGCGAAGGAGGGGTGGGAGGCAGCACGAGTAAGAAAGTATGCTGGAGGTTATAAAAGTGCAGCTATCAAACTCTGTTAAAAACTGCCAGATTTAGAGGGATGGCGTAGCTGGCCTGGTGCTCTTTGCCACTCACTTCGCCTGGACAAATGCCCAAGAACCAGAGCCAACCCTCGCCCCGACCTCCAGGAATCTGAGCCCGGGCGCGAGATCAGGGTGCCGCAGAAATGCGGCAGAGGGACCTGAAGCGGCCTCTAACCTCATCTCTTGCTCCCAGATGAACACCGAATAAAGGAGTTTAGAAGCAGGAGACGTCTGTGCCCCCACGCTGACTAGGGCGCAGGGGCGAGATCTGGGCACCACTGCCTCTGCGGGCAACGCCACCTCTGCAAAGGCCAGAAGCATCTCGGTCCCGCTCCGCGATCCAGCTGAAGACAGCTGCCTGCGAGGTGCTGCCGTCTACTAGCCCACTGCACTTGCCAAGTTAATGGAGTTAAGAAGTGCAGGGCTGCCCCTCGTGTTCCGCCTCAGGACAAAGGCGATGAGGAGAAGTCACAGCTTCCTTCATCCTCACTGAGCCCTCCCTGACTCAGCTCTGCAGATCTTGACTCTATTCCCTAATAATAATCAAAGATATTTTATTCCTTCTTTGAGCCTGTCTCGTTTTCAAACTCTAGAACAGGGACATTGAGGCACCGGGCCGAAGTTCACTGTAGAAACCATTAACTCTCCCCGCAAAACTAGCAGTCATTTGCTGGGTTCCGGCCTTGGGAAACCTCATAAATTATGAGGCATGAATTGGCTGTAGATGACCCTCCCTCCCCTAAATTGAACTTTCAGCCCCAAGAGGTCTGAATTCAGCAGTGTTTTTGGCAACTTAAGCCGCATTTGTAACTAGCGGCTTTGTCCTGCCGGACACCAGGTCATCACCATGACCCTCGCACCCAGTTCCTACCCTGCTGCGCATACAACGTCCTGCTGTTTACGCACATACTCATTCAAACAAAGCCCCAGACAACTCCTACCTCGCCCCCGTGCCCGTCGAAGATCCCGAAGATGGACGGGTGCGTCTTGTTGGCTAGGTCAGTGAGAACTTCGAAGCGGTCCTCCATGTGGTCTCTCCGGCCCTGGATGGAATACACGGCCACGTTGTGGCTCTTGAACTCCCAGGTCTTGGAAAACTCGGCCTCCAGCACGTCAAGACCCCCGAGCCGATCGTTCTGCATGATCTCGGCCACCTTGCCCTTCACCATCTTCACGGCGTCCCGGCTGGACTTCACGATGGTCTTTACCTCGTCTGTGTGGAAGAAGTAACTCCAAAGCGCCAAGCTGATGCACAGCAGGAAGAGCGTCTCCGGTCTCAACAAGAAGTAGCGCATGATGCGACCCAGCAGAGACAGCAAAGTCATTGTATCCTCTATCATTTATTATCGCTAGAGCCCCAACCACCAGCAGCGATGCGCTCCCCGAAGGCTCGCCGGGTCCCGGAGCACTGCGGGGATGGCCCGCGGGGAGGGAGGTGGAGCAGCAGCCGAGGGCCGGGGGAGGAGGCTAGCCAAGCCGGGCGGGAGGCGGACGAGCAGGCTGCTCCGAGCCCGCGCCACGAACGGAGGCAGTATCCCTTTTGTTCCCGGCCTCGTCAGCCGGCAGGCCCGCTCCCTGCGCACCCGCGCCTGTGCCCGCGGACCGCGCCGCCACCCTTCCCTGAGCCCCTTTGTGGCCGAAACGGCGGCGGTGGCAACAGGAGCTGCCGCCGGGGGTGCCGAGCCTGGGCAAGAGGAATCAAGTTAAAGTTGCGCCTGGCAGATCTGCCGCGGTGGGCGGGAGAGTTCGGGGCTCTGGCGACCGCGCAGCCCCTCCGCGGGTGCCCTCTCGCCGCTCCCGGGAACGATCAGCAGGTGAGGAGGCGAGGAGCGGAGAGACCAGCGGGCAAGGGATGCACTTCCCCTTGGCCGCCGTTGCAGGGGAGCGCAGAGCCGGCCGAGCGCTCCGGTTCCTCTAGACACCCCGCGATCGGGGGGTCCAGAGGACAAAAGTTTTGAGGGAGCCTGGACAGAGGCAGGGGTACGCGGAGCCCGGAGACGCAGCACGATCGGCGCGGAGCCGCAGGCGGCCGGCGCGGCTCAGCCAGCCTCTCCCCAGCACCTTTCTGCTCAGTCGGCTCGGCTCAGCTCGCGTGCTCCCTCGCAGCGCCCAGGCTCGCGCTCGCCCCGCCCCGCGCGCGCTCGCCCCGCCCCGTATCGCCCCGCCCCCTTTGTCAGGACTGGAGGCCCCGAGATCCAGGAGCTGAGCTGTCAAAGGCTGAGGAAGCTCCGCGGCTGCTGGCGCGCTCACAGCCCCGTGTGGTTCAAGCTAACCGAGGGGAGGGAAGGGGCGCATCCGCTGCCTCGCTCGAGTAGATGGTCGTCCTTGCCTCCTGTTCGGGCTCCCAGGACAATACAATCCAGACCCTAGTAGTCTGAACGTTTGGTTTCCCGGGAGGCACTGTACCAGCAGGAAAGCAGAACGCCACACGTGAGCGTCTCCCCTCCCGGCAGCAGCACTATAGTGCGGTCCCCGCCTCGCCGGGCATAAGGCAAGCGAGAAGGGACGCACTTCTCTCGGCTCGCAAAGCGCGGCAGAGTGGATCGGGCTGTTATGTTCGGTGACAGAGGACTGCCGGCCCTCCCGAGACGCGGACAGCGAGCCTGCGGCCTAGAAGCCTCCTCGCGGTGAGAAAAGACCCCTCCCAAGAGCAGCAGGATGAGAGGACTCGGCCACGTAGAAGTGCGCCCTGATGAAAACCTTGGCAGGGCCGAGAATGGGCTGGCCTTTCTGCGAGCTGCTGCCGGCCCGGGAGCGGAGGACTCAGCCACGAAGGTCTTTCCTGGTCGCAACCCCTCCACAGAGAGGCACGGAGCCTCCCAGGGGCGCCCAGGGCGCTCCTGACCCTGCTGCGGTACGAGTGCCCTGACTCTGTAGAAAGTCCCTTTAAAGTTCTGAACTTGAAGCTTCCCACCCCCTCCTCAAGCGTCGCTTTAGAAGACGAAGTAGGGGCGGAAGTTTTTTGATAAGCAGAAGTGAATGGCCCCCGAGAACAGTATAGGCTTCCAGAAGCCATCAAGGATAGCTTGTTGAAATACGGGCGAGTGACCGTGGCCTGAAGATACTGGGAGAAGAAGAAAACAATGTACAAATCAGCTACTATATGAAAACAAATGAGCTTTAAAGGAAAATACTCACACTTGCTACCCCTGTCCAGGAAGAAGAGTACTGATCTGCAGCTTCCAGTCGCCTAGACTGGAGAACAGAGGCTGCCTGATCCAAGACAAGCCACTGCCCGTCTCCCCAAGCACTCCTGCCTCGGTATGATTCCGACTACGTTGTTCAAAAGCCAAAAAATAGAAAAGAATAAAATAGTGGAAAAAAATACATCAAAATGTTAACTAAACATTTAAGTTAACTAAAAGTAGTAGATTATATGTGGTTTACGATTTCTGCTTTGACTTGGGCCTGTTTTCTACAATTTTTCCAAGGTTTTTACAAAAGGCATAGGCTGCCGTCATAACCAGAAAAAAAAAACTTTGAAACATAAACGGCATATACATGATCTCAATTATATAAACATGCATAGAAAAGACAGGAAGGAAATATGAAAAACTGTTAATATGTTATTTTTAACAACTAAAATATGGTATCCTGTTCTGCTCTGCACTCTGGTATTTTCCACCAAGTAGAGTAGATAAACAGCTTAGAAATAAACTAGGTCATTCTGTTCAAATTAGGCCATAAATCATGAGGTTCCAAAATGAGAGAATAAATTCAAATGGCTTTAAGAACTATAAAGTGAAAGTAATGCATTAGTGCTATTATGAAGATAAGTTTATATTTTTTTTATTGAAGTATATTTGATATACAATCTTATATTGGCTTCCAGAATACAACACAGTGGTTCGACAGTTACCCATACTATTTATATCTTCACCCCCACTAGTGCAGTTACTATCTGTCAACATAAGAAGATGTTACAGAATCATTGGCTATATTCTCCATGCTGTACTACCATCCCCATGACCAACTTATATTATGATTGAGAATTTTTGTGACCCTTTGTCCCCCTCACCACCCCACCCCAACCCTTCCCTCCATAGTAACCACCAGTCACTTCTCAGATTCTATGAGTCTGCTTCTGTTTCATTCATTTTGTTCTGTTTTGTTTTTATATTCAAGAAATAAGTGAAATCGTATGGTATTGGTCTTTCCCCACATGGCTTATTTCATGTATCATAATACCCTCTAGGTCCATCCATGTTGTCACAAATGGCAGGATTTCTTCTTTTTTATGGCTGAGTAATATTCCATTGTGTGTATGGAGCACATCTTCTTTGTCCATTTATCTATTGATGGATAGATCATATGGTTGCTTCCATATCTTGGCTATTGTAAATAATGCAGTAATGACATAGGGGTGCATATAACTTTTGAATCAGGAATTTTCTTTTCTTTGGGTAAATTCCTAGAAGTGGAAATACTAGGCTGAATGGTATTTCTATCTTTACTTTTTGAGGAACCTCTGCACTGCTTTCCACAGCAACTGCACCAGTTTACATTCCCACCAACAGTGTAGGAGGGTTCTCTTCACATCCTCACCAACACTTCTTATTTCTTCTCTTTTTGATAGTGGCTATTCTGACTGGTATAAAGTGATATTGTGATTTTGATTTGCATTTCCTTGATGATTAGCAATATGCAGCATCTTTTCATGTGCCTGTTGGCCATCTATATCTCTTCTTTGGAGAACTGTCTGTTCAGGTCTTCCACCCATTTTTTTAATTGGGTTATTTGTTTTTTGCTGTTAAAGTGTATGAGTTCTTTATGTATTTTGGATGTTAACCCTTTATCAGATAAATAATTTACAAATATATTCTCCCATACATAGGTTTCCTTTTTGTTCTGTTGATGGTGTCTTTTGCTGTAGTCCTACTTGTTCAATTTTTGTTTCCCTTGCCTGAGGAACTATGTCCAGAAAAAAATTGCTCATGCTTATGCTCAAGAGATTTTTGCCTATGTTTTCTTTTAAGAGTTGTATGATTTCATAACTTACATTTCATGTCTTTGATTCATTTCAAGTTTACTTCTGTGTCTGAGTTAGACAATAATCCAGTTTCATTTTCTTGCATGTAGCTGTCCAATTTTCCCAACACCAGTTATTGAAGAGACTGCCTTTTTCCCATGTATATTTATGGCTCCTGTATCATATATTAATTGGCCATATATGTGTGGGTTTATATCTGGGCTTTCTATTCTGTTCCATTGATCTATGATCTGTTCTTGTGCTAGTACCATACTGTTTTGATTACTGTAGCTTTGTAATATAGCTTGAAGTCAGGAAGCATAATATCCCCAGCTTTGTTCTCCTTTCTCAAGATTGCTTTGGCTATTCAGGATTTTTGTGGTTCCATATGAATTTTTTAGGATTATTTGCTCAGTTTATTTAAAAATGCTGTTGGTATTTTCATAGGGATTGCATTGAATCTGTATACTTTGGGTAGGATGGCCATTCTGACAATATTAATTCTTCCTATCCATGAGCATGGGATAGATTTCCATTTATTGGTGTCTTCTTTAATTTCTTTATGGGTGTCTTACAGTTTTCAGAGTATAGGTCTTTCACCTCCTTGGTTAGGCTTGTTCCTAGGTATTTCATTCTTTTTGATGCAATTAGAAATGGAATTATTTTCCTGATTTCTGTTTCTGCTAGTTCATTGCTAGTATATAAAAGTATGTAAGAATGCAACAGATTTCTGTGTATTAGTTCTGTATTCCACAACTTTGCTGAATCCAGTTATTAGTTTGAATAGTTTTTTTGTGGAGTCTTTAGTGTTTTATATATATATATATATAGTATCACATCTGCAAATAGTGACAGTTTTACTTCTTCCTTACCAACTTGGATGTCTCTTATCTCTTTATCTTATCTAATTGCCATGGCTAGGATTTCCACTACTTTGTTGAATAAAAGTGATGAAAGTGGGCATCCTTCTCTTGTTCCTGATCTTAGAGGAAAAGCTTTCAGCTTTTTGCCACTGAGTATGATATTAGATGTAGGTTTATCCTATATGGCCTTTATTATGTTGAGGTACTTACCCTCTGTATCCATTTTGTTGAGAGCTTTTATCATGAATGGATCTTGAATGTTGTCAAATGCTTTTTCAGAATCTACTGAGATCATTAGTGGGCTTTATCCTTCCTTTTGTTAATGTGGTGTATCACATCAATTGATTTTTGAGTATTGTACCATCCTTGCATCCCTGGAATAAATCCCACTTTGTCATGATGGATGATCTTTTTGATGTATTTTTGAATTTGGTTTGCTATTATGTTTTTGAGGATTTTTGCATCTATGTCAGTCATCAGGAATATCAGTCTGTAATTTTCTTTTTCTGTGATGTCTTTGTGTGGTTTTGGTATATCAAAGTCATGCTGGCATCAAATAATGAATTTAAAAGTATTCCTTCCTTTTCTATTTTTGGAATACTTTAAGAAGGATGGGTATTAGCTCTTCTTTAAATGTTTAGTGGAAGTCAGCTGTGAAGCCATCTTGTCCTGGATTTTGTTTGTTGGGAGTATTTTGATTACCAACTCAATGTCATTGCTGGTAATTGGTCAGTTCAGATTTTCAAAATCTTCCTGGGTCAGTCTTTGAAGGTTGTACTTTCCTAGGAATTCATCCATAACTTCTAGTTTGTCCAATTTATTGATGTATAATTTTTCATAGAATTCTCTAATAATTCTTTGTATTTCTGTGGTGTCAATTGTCACTATTCATTTTTTATTTCTGATTTTGTTTATTTATGTTCTCTCTTTTTTTTCTTCATAATTCTAGCTAGGGAGTTGTCTATTTTATTTATCTTCTCAAAGAACCAGCTCTTGGTTTCACTGATTTTTTTTCTGTTGTTCTGTTTTTCTCTATTTTATTTATTTCTCTTCTGATCATTATTATGCCCCTCCTTCTACTAACTTTGGGTTTCATATGTTCTTATTTTTCTAGTTTCTTTAGTTGTGAGTTTAGACTGTTTGAGATTGTTCTTGTTCCTTGAGGTAGTCCTATAATACTCTGTACTTCCCTCTTAGGACCACTTTTGTGGAAACTCACAAATTTGAACTACTGTATTTATGTTTTAATTTGTCTCTTTGTATTGCTTGGTTTCTACTTTGATTTTTTCATTGATCCACTGATTGCTTAGGAGCATGTTTAGCCTCCATGTGTTTGTAGGTTTTGTTTCCTTTGTGTAATTTATTTCTAGTTTCATACCACTGTGGTCTGAGAATCTGCTTGATAGAATTTCAATTTGTTTAAATTTATTGAGGCTCTTTTTGTGGCTTAGTATGTGATCTATTCTGGAGAACATTACATGTACACTTGAGAAAAAGGTGTGTCCTGCTGCTTTTTGGTGGAATGTTATGGAGATATCTGTTAAGTGTATCTGATCTAATGTGTTGTTCAGTGCCTCTGTTTCCTTACTTATTTTCTGTCTGGATGATCTGTCCATTGATGTAAGTGGTGTGTTCAAGTCCCCTAATATGATTGAGTTGCTGTCTATTTCTCTCTTTAGTTCTGTTAGCATTTGTTTTACATATTTAGGTGCTCTTATGTTGGGTGCATAGATGTTTATAATGGTTATATTCTCTTCTTAGACTGATCCCTTTATCATTATGTGATATCCTTCTTTGTCTCATTACTTTCTTTTGTTTTGAAATTATTTTGTCTGATATAAGTACTGCTACTCCTGCTTCTTTCTCCCTGTTATTTGCATGAAATATCTTTTTCCATTCCTTCACTTTCTGTCTACATATGTCTTTAGTTCTGAAATAAGTCTCTTGCAGGCAGCATGTAGATGGGTCTGTTTCATTATCCATTCTGCCACTCTGTGTCTTTTGATTAATGTATTCAGTTGATTTACATTTAAGGTAGTTATTGATAGATATGTATTTATGGCCATTTTATTAATTGTTTTCTGGTTGTTTTTATAGTTCCTCTCTGTTTCTTTCTCTCTCTCTTTATACTCTTCTCTTGTTATTTGATGGTTTTATTTAGTGTGGTTATTGGATTTCCTTTTCTTTTTAATTTTTTGTGGCTCTATTATAGGCTTTAGGTCTGTGGTTACCATAAGGTTCATAGATAGTTTCCTAAAAGATAACAGTCTACATTAAGTTAATGGTCACTCTGTTTCAAACACAATCTAAAAGTACTTTTTTTTCTTCTTCCTTCTCCACACTTTATGTATTAGTTATCATAATCTATATTTTTTGTGTATATCTTGACTGATTTTGTGTGTAGTTGGTTTTACTGCTTTTGTTTTAACTTCATACTCACTTTGTAAGTAATTAGTCTACTACCTTTCTTGTGGGTTTATTTTCACTGGTTAAAAATATTGAGGCTTAAGAACATTTTCATCTATAGAAGTCCCTTTACTATATCCTGTAAAGCTGGTTTAGTGGTGGCAAATCCTTTTAACTTTCATTTATCTGGGAAACTTTTAATCTTTCCTCCAAATTTGAACGATAACCTTGCTGGACAGAGGACTCTTGGTTGAAGGTCCTTTGTTTCAATACATTAAATATTTCATGCCATTCCTTGTGACCTGTAAAGTATTTTCTGAGAAGTCTGCTGATAGCCTGATGGGGTTTCCCTTATAAGAAATTTTTTGCCTCTCTATAGCTGCTTTCAGTACTCTCTCATCATCCTAAATCTTTGTCATTTTAATTACTATACATCTTTGTGTTGTTTTCTTTGGGTTGCTATTGTTAGGGGCTGTCTGTGCTTCCCACACTTAGGACCTGAGTGTCTTTCTGCTTCCCAAGATTGGGGAAGTTTTCAGCAATTATTTCTTCAAAGAGTCTTTCTATATCCTCTCTGAAGATACTCCTCTGTATCTCTCTTCTTCTGGTACCCCTATTATGCAAATATTGTTTCATTTGAATTGTCACATGACTCTCTTAGCTTCCTCTCATTTCTAAAGATTCCTTTTTTCTGTGTTTCTCAGTTTTGCTGTTTTCCTATTCTCTAGTTTCCATCTAATTGACTGTCTCCTCTACTTGCAGCAGTCTACTATTCATTCCCTCCATTGTGTTTTTCATTTAAGATATTGTATTCTTCAGCTCTTAGTGGCTTTTTCAACTCTTCTATCTCTTTAGTGAAGTCCTCCCTGAGATAATCAATACTCTCCACAGATCAATGAACATATTTATGACTATTACTTTGAAATCATTATTAAGAAGATTGGTAATCGCCATTTCACTTAGCCCTCTTTTTGATGTCTGATCCTGTAGTTTTGTTTGGAACATATTCCGCTGCCTTCTCATTTTGTCAGGGTTTCTGTGTTTCATTCATTTCAGGGTTCCCCTTCCTTTGTATTAGATAGATCTGTTATGCCTTTTCTGGTCTGGAGAGTAATAGCTTTATGAAGAAGGCATCTTGTGGTACCCAGTTCAAGATTCTTTACTCACCAGTGCCTGGTTTTCCTTTGCAGTGGAGCCCCCGTTCCCGTTGGTGGGCTATGGGTGAGGCCACCTTTCTGCCTTTCTGTTGGCAGTGGCTGTTCCGTCCTAGCCAGCTCTTTGTGAGCCAAGCAGTGGTACTTGTGCTGGGTGGGGTTGCCCTGCTCCTGCTCTGCCATGATGGCAGCGCTGCTGGGCAGGTGTGCAGGGAGGCATCTTGGGACTTAGTCATGAGTAAGGGGGATAGAGAGTTTAGGGCTCCTGGGGACACCTGACCAACTGGGCTGAGGGAGGGCTGGGAAGTGTCCACCTGCCCTTTCTCCTACAGAGAGCTCCATCCAACCTTCACCTCTCTGGCAACCTCCTCCCCCAACCCCCAATACTAGCAAATCTTTCAAACTGTCACCTCTGTTTTGGGTCTCAGCAGGATGAGTGGAGTGTGCCTGTTCACAGGCAGCTAGCATCTCTGCCTCTTAGTGTGTTCCAGCTGTCCCTGGTGTCCAGCAAGAACCCAATGCAATGTGGACTCATGTTCCCAGAGCAGATCTCCAAGGCCAGGTATGCAGAGCTCCTGAGTGACTGTCCCCTCCCTGTTCCATTCCTCTTCCTCCCACCTGTGGGATGGGATGAGGGAAGGGCTTGGGTCCTGATCAATTATGGCTCTGTCACTTTACCCTTCTTTGTGTGGTCTTCTTTTCTTTGCCAGGTATACGTAGTCTGTTCTGCACTCTTCAGATCATTTTCAGGGTTAGTTGTATTTGCTGTAGTTGGTTTCTTAGTATGTACGTGGGAGGAGGTTCCCTTGCCTTCCTGCTCCACCATCTTTTTTCCCCTCTTCCTTACAATATTTCTTAATGTAAATTAGCAAGTGGCTTTTGGGTACATTATCAATGTCTCTCTACATGAATCTGTTTCTCCATGGCAAAGGCAGCTTGCAGATACACTGATCAAGATTCCAGATATACAAATCAAACTAGACCCTGGAGTAAAAGTAAAATTCCAAACCTAGGGGCCCATCCAACCTGTCCACAACAGTACTATACTAATTATAGCAGCACAAATACTCATAACAAGCATGACTTATGCTTCCTCCATACCTAAATAAAGAAAAGAAAAGACCATATTGGCCTCTCTAGAGGTTAAATAGCGAAAGGAAATCTTGACTTGATAAATAAATCTTGATATCCTGTGGATTCTGTGGAGATATGCTTTGACATTTACCTCTAAGTAATGTACTTGCATGAAATTATTCAGTATTCAATCATCTTATTTCTATTAAGAAATCCATGCAGTTTACATAATAATTTTTAAAGGACAAATAAGCTTTTTTGTAGTTTGTTTTGAGTTTTAATATATTTTAGAAATAAAAAAGACCTTCCTCTAGTGACTAACATTTGCATATTCCTTGAGATTGTAAGGGTTTTTCATGTATATCAACTCATAATATGTATATCATTCTCATAACAATACTATGAGGAAGATAGAGGAGCTATTATCTCCATTCATAAATATGAGGAAAATGAGGCACAATGATGTTAAGTGAATATTACAATTCAGCAAATAAGAAATTGGAAACTAAAACTGACTTCTACCAACTCAGTACTCTAATATCCATTGATTGCCCAGTGATACTGAGATGATTAGTCTAATTTTTATGCTTCCCTGTAACATTTCAGTAGGTCTCCATTACAGAAATCTCAAAAAGAATACATGAGCTCTTATTCCACAGTTCTGACTTTAGCCATTGATTACATGGTCATACTGCAGTATGAGGATTTGCCTCATCCATCAAGAATATTTATGGAGCAGAAGACAAGTTCAAGAAAACTGTCCTTTGTCTCTACATAAAAGCCTAAAGGATTTGTTGCTAAAGTAAATTTCTAAATTTCACAGGGAAGAACAGCATACCATAGAATGTACATTAGGCAAATACTTTACCATTACAACTGACATGGTAATGAACAGAAAGCTGACAGCAATGTTAGATTTTCATGAGCCACGATATTAGTGATAAATAGTTACCAGGTAATTATCATTTTCAATTATGCAATTAACTCATGTCTCATGCCTCACAAATAAATAAAGAACATAAAACATAGCTTTTAAAAATAATATATTCTCATTAAAAAATTCTAGAGTTGTAGCTTATAGGTTTAAGAAATCTTTAAAGCACAGTTTAATAACAAATCTATTTCCAGTATGATGTTGTTCCATGATGTCCTCATTTTTCATTTTTGCCACTTATTACAAAATTATAAAAATCAAATGTACAGTGACATAAGCTGAGCCTCTGAATAATGAATATAACAAAAATATCCCGTGAAATAAATTTTAAGTGAACATTTTACACATACAGAAGTTCTCTGCACACTTTTAAATTTCCCAATTATCATCAGTTTGGTTTGTATTCTTGACTTGTTCCTACCATCTGCATATAAATATCTACTGAGTATTGAGTAAGACTTTTACTATATTCTATCAATATACACCTATATATAACTTTTTAAACTATACATACAAAAGAGTACATGAGAGTACTGTTATGAAGCACTATCATGAGTACTACACCCACGAATGTACCACCTGCCCTGAAAACTGGATTGTGACCAATCTTTGTACCAGCCTAACAGTTCTTTCCCAACTCCTGCCTGTCCTCCACAAGTAGTTGCTATCCTCAATTTTGTGTTTTATCATCCCCCTTTTTAAAATAACATTATCACACATATCTGTAACCCTAAGTAATATATTTTTTAATTTGCTTGGTTTTTGAGCTTTATAAAAATGGCATCTTATTGTATATAGTTCTCTGCTTCTTCTTTTTTTCCCTCAATGTTATATTTCTAGATCCTTCCATGTTGTTGCAGATAGTTCCATCATTTTCACTGCTATATAAAATTTCACTGTGGGATTGTTCTATAGTTTATGTACTCATCTCTCTTCTATAGTCATTTGAGTTTCCAGTTTTTTGCTACTATGATCAACAATTTCATGAATTAATTTTGCACTATCTCTTGGTGCATATATGCAAGAGTTTTTCTAAGATCCATACCTAGGAGTGAAATTACTGGGTAATTGGGAATAAGAATGTTCAACTTCACAATGTAAAGCCAAATTGTTTTTGAAAATACACTCCTGCTATTTATGCTTTCACCAACAATGTGATCAAAGCTCCTTAATATAAGGGATGATTACTACAAATTTTATCTTTAAAGTGATTTTTAATACTGGTCCTTTCAGCTAATGGTTAACCATGATTGTGACTATTAAACCATACTGAATCTTTAGTGTTTCTCATAAAATCTCTCTAGATAAAAATTTTAATAAATCTTCAGTTTTAAATGCCATTTAAATGAAAATGAGAATCTGTTTTAGTAATACAGCTAAGAATTAATTCATCATATTAAATAAGTATAGTACTATATCAATCTGGACTTAGAATTTTGCTATCTCAGATATTCTGTCAAATGAAGAACTAACATCACAGATATGAACCATGTTGAATGTAATACAGTTTTATTTCACTAGACTCCAAAAGCACAAGGTCCTTTTCTGCAACCTAAGTTTTTATATTAATTACAGAGATATATCAAGGACACTTGTTTTCTGAATAAAATGTTTATGCTTTTGTACCAAGTCTGTGCCATACTTATCCTAAGAATACTTCATCTAATTGCCCTGGGCTTCCCTATGATAATCTTTCATATATTTTTTTATTGATGTATAGTTGATATGCAATATTATATTGGTTTCAAGCATACAACATAGTGACTTAACAGTTATTTATATTATTAAATGCTCACCCCAACTAGTATAGTTACTATCTATCAACATAGAAGGATGTTACAGAACTACTGACTATATTCTCTATGCTCTACTTTCATCACCACAACTACTTTATATTATGATTAAGGGTGTGTGCCTCTTTATCTCCTTCACCTAGTTCACTCACCCAACCCAACCTCTCCCGCATAGTAACCACCAGTCCCTTCTCAGTGTCTATGAGTCTATTACTTTTTCATTCATTTTTATGTTTTTAGATTCCAAGTATAAGTGAAATCATTTGATATTTGTCTTCCTCCACCTGGCTTATTTCACTTATCATTAATACCCTCTAGGTCTATCCATGTTGTCACAAATGGCAGGATCTCTTCCTTTTTATGGCTGAATAATATTCCATCATGTATATGGAGCACATCTTCCTTATCCATTCATCTATTGATGAGCACTTTGGTTGCTTCCATATCTTGGCTATTGTAAATAATGCTGCAGTGAATATAGGGGTGCATATCTTTTTGAATCAGGAATTTTGTTTTCTTCAAGTAAATTCCTAGAAGTCAAATTATTGGGTCAAATGGATTTCTATGTTTAGTTTTTTTGAGTAATCTCCACACCTCTTTCCATAGTGACTGCACCAATTTACATTCCCACCAACAATGTAGGCAAGTTCCCTCTTCTCCACGTCCTCACCAATACGTTTTATTTCTTGTCTTGTGAATAGCAGCCATTCTAACTGGTGTGAGGTGATATCTCATTCTGGTTTTGATTTGCATTTCCCTAATGATTAGCAATGTGCAGCCTCTTTTTGTGTGCCTGCCTATTGGCTATCTTTATGTCTTCTTAGGAAAAAATGTCTGTTCAGGTCCTCTGCCTATTTTTTAATCTGGTTATTTTGTTTTTTGGTGTTGACTTGCATGAATTCTTTATATGTTTTGGATGTTAACCCCTTATCAGATATCATTTGGATGTTAACCCCTTACCAGATACTGTAGATTGCCTTTTTGTTTTGTTAATGGTTTCCTTTGCTATACAGGAGCTTTTTGGTTTGATGTAGTCCCATTTGTTTATTTTTGCTTTTGTTTCCCTTGCCTGAGGAGACATATCAGGAAAAAATATTGCTCATGCTTATGTTCAAGAGATTTCACCTGTTTTCTTCTAATAGTTGTATGGTTCCATGTCTTACATCCAGGTCTTTGATCCATTTCAAGTTTACTTTTGTATATGGAGTTAGACAGTAATCCAGTTTCATTCTCTTGCATGTAGCTGTCCAGTTTTCCCAACACCAGTCATTGAAAAGGCTGTCTTTTCCCTGTTGTATATTCATGGCTCCTTTATCATATGTTAGTTGACCATATATGCATGGGTTTATATCTTGGTTCTCTATTCTATTCCACTCATCTATAGGTCTGTTCTTGTGCCAGTACCATACTGTTTTGATTACTGTAGCTTTTTAGTATAGCTTGAAATCAGGGAAATCAGTTTTGTTCTTCTTTTTAAAAATTGCTTTGGCTATTTTGGGTCTTTTGTGGTTCCATATAAATTTTAAGATTATTTGCTCTAGTTCACTGAAAAATACCATTAGTATTTTAATGAGGATATGATAATTTTCAAACAACTTCCTAAATTATAATGTTATCTAAAGCATTACCTAAATTTTTTATCCTAATTAACATTCATCAGTATTCTACCTAATAACATTGTGAACAGTTGCAAAATGAGACTTCTCATTGCTCTTAAACCAAAGACAAAAATCTTAATTATGGCCTTCCTGTCCTTCACAGCCTTATTCCATACCACTTGGTCCCTTGGCCCATCCACTTTAGCCACAGTTGCCTTCCTATAATTCCTAGAAAGCATCAGTCTCCCTTTTGACTCAGGGCCTTTATTCATGTAGCTCCATTTAGCTGGAATGCTCACTTTTTCCAAGCCTACTCTCCCATCCACACTCTTCCTAGTTAACTATCATTCATCAGATCTCAGCTCATATCTCATTCTCTCAAAAGCCCTTCCTGACTGCAATCAGGTCCTTCTTGCCCCCTCTCATAGCAACCTACACTTTTACTTCAGAGTGCTCATCAAAGTAATTTTTGTGATGTTTTTTAAGTTAATGTCTGTTCCCCCCCAACTCTTACTATAGTTCATATGATCCATGAGAGCTATATGAACTCTGTCTGTTCTGCCCTCCACTGTAACTCTAGCACCTAGCGCAATGCCTGGCATACAATAGCACACTATAAATATTCATGAACAAATGTAGGTATTCTAAAATCATTATTTCAGCTACCCTTAAATTCTCTATACTATTGCTAATAACAAATGAAGTCAATCAATGTGAGTTTAAATCCTGGACAGCAATAAAAAGAAAAGAGAAGTCAAAGAATAAGTCACCCATGGATTGTTGAAAATTGACTTTGCTAACAGATACAAAACATTAAAAAACATTCAGAATTCCTTTACTTTTTCCTTTTTGTTTTACATTTTTGCTCATCTTATATTAAGATGATAGTTTCATTATGGTCACAGGGAAATTCTTCATAAGAACAAACATCTTTACAAAATGAGTGCTCCTTTGTTTCATTTTTCTAGGAGGCTATTTGTCCTTTTTCTTCTGAATGTAAGTTGTTTATATCTTAAGGCTACCATTGATATTGTAAATATTTTTCCCACCTTGTCATTTATCTTTCAATTGTCTATGATGCTTTGAAATACGAGTATGAGCTTTATTTGTTGTTTACATTTTATTTTTATAAAGTCAATTCTACCTTTTCCTTCATAATGTGTGCCTTTTATAATATGCTTAGAATGGACAAGTAATCTTTTTATTCCTCCATGCATTTCTCTCCAGCTATTTTTACCATAATCCCCAAGACAGTATAGAGTATAATTCATTCATTTACTCACTCATCTATTTACAAGTTTATCATTTATTCAGCACTTGTTGCGTGTCAGGTGCTGAATGAGGAACCAGGCAAAACTGACACAATTCCTATCTTCTGGAACTTATAGTGAGAAAGGGCTTGTAGAGATTAACATGTAATCACTCATTAATATACTATAGATTGGAAAATGTCATTAACCAAAGCATAAGCAAGCAGTATATGCTTCCTATGGTGAACATGCTGGTTGTAAAGTCAGGCAACAGAAGCTGGCAGCCCTTCTTTAATGGAAGAAATTGCCATTGTAGGGTTAGCTGTCCCTGTACCAGAGTTTATTACTTCCACCACGTTGATCTCTTTTCATTTCCACCCCAAAAATCACATGCCCATTATGATTAGCAGACATAATGTAGGGGGTTGCGGGATGGGGAGGGCTGTGCAACACAGAGAAGACAAGTAGTGATTATACAGCATCTTACTACACTGATGGACAGTGACTGTAATGGGGTATGTGGTGGGGACTTGGTGATGGGCGGAGTCTAGTAACCATAATGTCGCTCATGTAATTGTAGATTAATGATACCAAAAGAAAAAACAACAACAACAACAAAAAAAATAACATGCCCATCTACACCACTCAGAATATACTGTGTGGCTGGGAAAATTATCTAACCTCTTTGTACTTCAATATTCTTATCAGTAAAATAAACATAAATATCATACCTATTCCATATGTCACTTTAAATATTACAAGAGCTAATATACATGATGTGCTTAGAACAATGGCTGGAACATAGTGAGCATCCAGTAGAAGTGAATTACTATTAGTTGAAGGTGGTGAATAGATTCAGTAAGTTTATAAGCAACTCATAAATATAGAGCACAGTATGATAAGACCCTATCTGACATAAGACATTATGGGAATTTTTAGGAAAAAGGTATCATCTGAGTGGAGGGATCAGGAAGGTTTCCTGAAGTAGGGGATGAGAGGATTTGGACATATAGAAAAAGGGGGATAGGCTGGAGGGCACAGAGAGCCAGAAAGAAGAAACAGCACTCATTCTATTTGCTCACAGTGTTTCAAAAAGATGGAATCTTAGAGGAGCAGGAAATAAAGGATTGGTCACTTGGCACTGTATTTTGAAGAGCTTTGAATAATAAAGCTTATATTCTTTCATTGGCTATACAGAGGATAGCAGTTTTGACAGAGGAACAAGATCAGAATTAGGGTTCCTAGAATGTAATTAAATCCACTCGAATCCATCATCATAGTAGAAAAATATCCCTCAAAACATATACCTTGTATTTGTTCACCCACATTCATAGCAACACTATTCACCACAGTCAAGAGATGGAAGCTACCCAAATATCCATTGACAAATAAAATGTGGTATAGACATACAATGGAATAGTATTCAGATTTAACAAGGAAGGAAATCTTATCACATGTTGCAACATGACCTGAAGGACATTATACTAAGTAAAATAAGTCAGTCACAGAAAGACAAATACTGTATGACTCCATTTATATGACATATATAGGGCAGTCAAATTCATGGAGACATAAAACAGAATGGTAATTGCCAAGGGTTGTGGAAAGGGGATAATGGGGAGTGGTTTTTTAGTGCATATAGGGTTTCAGTTGTACAAGATAAAAAATTCTAGAAATCTGTTTTATAACACCGTGAACA